TTGACATAAATTGGAGGATCAAAGTTAAGATAGGATATTCGTAGAGTAGTATGCACAAATTGTTGCTGCGGCGTGACATTTATGTCAGAGAGACATCCGTTAGGTATGTAGCCTGCATTAGGTAAACAGTTATTGTGAGCATGGCATCAGTACGGGGTTTTAGATTTATGCTTTACTTTGGGCTCAAGTCGTTCTGATAAAGAGTGTATTTTATTATAATATTCATTTATAGGCAGCTCGGTAGTTTGAGGGTACAATTTTTCATTGCAATACGTAGTGATCGTAAGGCTTCCCAATATATTACCACTGCCATTTAATCACACATTAGCCAATGAGGAACTACCCCATCCGCTACGGTCTAAATGGTTTCCCTGTGTGCTTTTGGAATTCTTCATATTAACATCAACTAATAGGGGTAACGAGATTGATGGACCAAAGTAATGTTCTGGAACCCGAGCAGACATTCTTTGCAGGGAAATATTAGTTTCATTCATGTGAAGCACATGATGCAGCGTTGCTTACAATGCACTTGTAACTATTGATTTGACTTATATTTGTAAGTGGTTTGCAATTCGAAGAATGGAGAGGTGTATTAGTTACATGGCTAGACGTCTCCGCAACGGGGATAGCGGTTTGAGCCATTGCTTTGGTCAGACTAGTTACCTAACTGATGTTTCGAGGAGCTGCTGCAAATTATTTGACCTCATTTAGATAGTAATTTTAAATTTAGCACAGACTGAATCCCGGTGCCACTAAGTACCTCAAGCAAAATTTCGACGTTCGTGTCAACAACTATGTCGGTGTTAACAGCTTATACGTCTTTCGATTACAGCGGTAGATGACTTCACCAGAATTCGCATTGCAACGGCGTTTTGTTAATTGTTATCCTGTGTTTTGAAATTACTTTATTCTTCTAGCTGTAAGTCTTTATTGAGGGACCAGTTTGCTGTAAATGCGTCGTTATATTAAAGTAGTATTGGACGGAGGCATGTAAATTTGCACACCGTGCTTTCAAATTACCTGCTCTAAGCAAGATTTGTAGCATTGTCCTATTGGCATGTTATCGGACAAATTAAAAGCCACCGCTTTTTTAGAACATCGTATTCTACTAAACTCTTCTACTGCAACAGAATCAATAAACTTACGGTGGGTTTAAATAACAATTATTTGGGTTTGCCGTTGTCTGCAGTGGACCATTCAGTGGTTCGAGTATTTGAGTGTTGTCGCCAAGTGACCAAAAGAAGCCAAGTTTATGTTAACCCCGTCTGCCTCCTTTTAGATATATTTGAACTTAGTGAGTGCATCGTCCAGTTTCTCAGCCGGCTTACCCGAACGACATCAAAGTCTAAGAGGCTAATCGGATTTTGGCAATTTTGTGGTGTTTATGGTCACTGAAGCTTAGGGAGACAGTATTAGAGCAGGTGTGCCTGCACAGCATTAAATATATCTGTTATTTTAATCATATGATGCCAGGAAAATGTTACAGAATCATGTCAAACTACTTAGGTTAAATCAATAAAGTTTTATAAACTTGTATAGAGTGACCTTTCTTAATTTCTCTGTCAGGAAGTTCCTGTTTGACTGCCTACTTTTTCTCCTATATTTATATGTCCGGCGTTATCCGTCCAATAGTGACGGATGATGCGAGTGCAGATTGTTTGCACAGGCTGGCTACTTAAAATGAAACAGTCGCTGGGCCTGTTTAGATTCTGTGCCCCCGGCTGAACTTTTGTCTGCGGCTCAATCCGTCCGGATGCGGAATTCATTAAAGCTGGCGAACTGGGACATTGGCCTCTGGACAAGTCAGCCACGCATGTAGTTTTGCTGTGCGGACAAATGCAGCCGTTGACAGTTCGTGTCGCTTAATATGTGATGATGCACAGTTGCCAGGTTCCAATCATGGCAAAGTTACAATCCGGAAAGTCGATCAAATCCAGGCCTACGCCACACGGTTATAGTTAGAAAGAGGACGTAGCAGGATCATGAATTTGGTCACTGATTCTGCTGGAGCGCGCTCGGCTGCACGCGAGCCACGGGTGGTTACAATGGATTACAAATGGGCAAACAGACCGCTGCAGTTAGAGTAATTTGGACTGTAGCTGGCATATAAAGCTTTAGTCAGGTTGATCATAAGCTCCTTGAATACTCCTCAGCGTTGTCTCCAAAAGGCGGTCACCAGAAACAATGTGTCAGCAGAGTACACGAATACCATGTATATTGGTTCCCACAGTGAAAATGTGAAAACAGGGTATTGGGAAGTTATATTTATACCTCAAAGTTTAAATGTATATACCGGCAATTAGTAGATAGATCTGGCAAAAACGAATCGAATGAGTGTACTAAAACGAACGAATTAGGAAAGCTTGCTCAGCAGCTCTAAGTTTGGTAGGATGGAGGATTCAGTGTAATTTTCGCCACTGCTACTGCCAATTATTAACACATAAATTAAAGCCCGAACATATTTCGTGGTGTTCGCCGTGTGATAACATAAAACAGCAATCCTTGTTTCGTCTCTTCGAAATGTCAACAATAATTCTAAAGTTAAATATTTTTGTATTTCTCGTAAGCAGCAGGATTTTAGTTTAATTTTTTGAGGTTTTCATTCCCATAGTTCACAAGCTACATTGCGAAGCCTAGTCCGGAAAACCACCAGAGGTGACTCCCCCTATTGGGGCTCGTCGTTTTTGCGCATTCCCTCGATCCTCTAAAGAGGATTGAACCCATGACAGCTTGAGATAACTGACAACTAACCAGCAGCTTAAGCCACTGAACCATGGGGGACGTTTTTGAGCTGAATAATTTGCAAACTAACTGGGATATAGCACCACTATATTCCACTGTCAATAACAGTAGTGAGCCCGCGAGGTGATGATGTCCTTTCAATAGATGCTATTTCCATATCATTTTGAAACAAGGTGAGGTCATTTATTTTATATTACTCCGAAGCAGCAGGATTTTAGTTGTAATTTTGTTGAGGACGTCATCACCTCTCCGGCGCAACACTGTCAGTGACGGTGGAATATAAGTGGTGCGGTATTCCCGTTAGTTTGCAAATTATGTACCCCAAAAACTTCCTCCATGGCTCCGTGGCTTAAGCTGCTGGTTAGATGACACCAACCCTTAGCTGTCATGGGTTAGATCCTCTTTAGGTGACCAAGGGGATGCGTACAAATAGGTCGAAACGCGTCTCGTGCTTTACCTCGCTAGGCTCTGATATGTAGCTTGTGAACTACTGGGATGAAAACCTCAACAAAATTATAACTAAAATCCTGATGCTTACGAGTAAAGTAAAAGAAATAGTCTCTCCTTGTTTCTAAATATTATGGGTGTGGCGTCGAATAAGAGGACGTATCACCTCATAGGCTCACCACCATCCGTGACAGGGGCAGCTAGGTGGTGCAATACCCCAGTTAGTTTGCAAATTATGTAGCCCAGCATACGTCCCAAATGGCTTAGTGGTTTTAGCTGCTGGCTAGTTAGCATCTGTCTCTAGACGTCATGGGTACGATCCTCCTTAGAGTACCGATTGAATGCCTAGCAGTAATGAGCCCTAATAAGGCGAAACGCGTTTGGTGATTTGTTTTTAATCATTCATTTGGTATGAGTTACATATCTGCACCTCTTGACCACCAAACGCAGATAAAAAAACTGATTTTTATTACAGAAGTACGTTCCACTTATACATGACTGCCAGATCATTGCATTATGCATTTCATTCAATACGATTTTTTGATAATAAAACGATATATTCTTTTTTTAATTTAGGACTGTGGATATTCAGGAAATTTTGATATATGTTTATCTTTTTTCGAGTTTTGTTTCAGAACGATTTTTCCTTCGACTGCTCATAAACTGAAAGAGCAATATTTGTTATTAGCTGAAAGATTTTGATTTGTATTCTTCTTATATTTTCTTTTTCGGATACGGCAATTCCTCTTTTCTAAAAGATTTGCACTAGTAAACGGGATTAATGCGCCATGCCACATCGTGGATTTGTTATTTTTCGATAGTTTTCCCTTATAATAATCAAGTAATTGAAGCATATTTTTAACTATGCTTCGTAAGAAATGAAGCAGCAACTACTTTTGGATCTTGGGAGACTTTGCATAATATCCTTCCTGACTGAGGGCAAAATATGTGCTTGAATGCTATACACTCGTCTCAGGGTGAAGTGCACTTTTTTCTATGGAAGGGATCATCATTGGTGAAATCGACATACATATGTTAAACGTGATCTCAATGGGACAAATAAGGGGCTTGCTCGGAATGACGTTTTCACAGGTGTGACATGATGCAAATGTTTTGTTGGTCATACAGATTACAATTACAGTATCCAGCATTAAACCTATCCGGATAGTTTAAATGATATTTGGTATGGAACCATCAACAGGACGAGAAATGACACCCCTTGTCACATACTGTGCGCCACGGACCGACCCTTCTTCATAAGCCATGACTCTACCCTAAAAATACGACTAATCCAATACATTAAATTGTTTAATTTGGATGTGATTAACCTAATGTTTGCGCATGTAATTCTGACATTTTATCCGTAGTTGCTTGTGAATTGTCACCACCGTATGGTATACGCAGTTTGTATGAAACGCGTTCTAAATATGAGCATACAACATGTCAACCGGAATTCCATTTTTATTTCGTAGTTTAACTTAGCCACAACATACATTACGGTGTCATATGGACCAAAATAGTCCAAACGCTAATCATGCGATGACATGTCATGGAAAACCGAATATAATTGGGTCAACAACACAATTGCGCTATTCATATGAACTATTTCGTGTACTACAGAGTTGCATTTGCAATGACCTATACTTAAACTAATACAACTATAGAGACATTTAGAATTTTAATGATACACTAACCGTCTTTCAATTTGCAAATATATTTTGGAATATATACAATAAACAATACAATATGCAATGCACAATTTTAAACATATACATAGAAAATAGGTACAGTAATTCTTTATCAACTTTCAGACCTTTACTCTGGATAAAATAACTGGAGATTTGAGTACGCGTTTGTGGCTGGACAGAGAAAACACACCTCTCCATGACGGAACACATAGAATTCTTATTGTGGCCAGAGATCATGGTCAGCCGTCTCACAGTTCAACCCTTATTGTTCACATTCAAATACTGGATGTGAATGACAACGTCCCGGTAATCAGACTGGCTGGAGAGCAGTATCGTTTGCTGGATTTACAAGCCATAGCTCACAACATGACAGAGCAGAGCAAACGTCTGTGGGAATTGGTGAAAACGGAAAGGTTGGACGAAGTAAACGATCATAACCAGGGTGTGATAAAATTATCGGGCAGGCATGACTCAGAGAAAATACTTGCCACTCTCTTGGTTGTTGATCCAGATTTGCAGGAGAACAGTACAGTTACATGTCAGTTCGATGAACAATTCATCATCTTTCGATCATCTTTAGAGAAAAATTTCAAACTGATCAAGAAATATTCGCAGAACAAACTGCTCAAATTGCAACCTCTATTAATATATAGTGATGAAGAAACACGCAGACGGAATGGAAGTCTGAGAATCCCGGAAAACAGTGCAGCAAATTTGACCACTCCTGAGGACAAAAACTGGAAAGCAACCAAAGAGAAGTCCTATATTATTAAAACGACAACGGTTGGTTTGCACAATCATGCCACTGACTGCTTAAATGCGCTTTCTAATTGATGTTACCATGCATTAAGTAAATGTCGGGAGGACCTATTTTTGACGTATAAATTCCTTTAGCAATTAAACGGAACCTGTTGCCTTTTTCAACTAAATCCAACATTAAACGGACAAATATCAATTATTGAGATTTTTAAACAGTAGTTAATTTTACTTAAACGGAACCGAAATTTTGTTGAACTGGAGGTGATTAGTTAACCGGTGTTGATCAGATCGAAATTACAATACCGGATATTTGTAGTCTGCCTTCCATTGCAATTGTTTACCCTTTACGCTATGAACAGACTGACAACACAATATATGACGAAAATTGTCTCCGCTACTAAGCACATAATCCAAATAACTCATGGTTCTGCTGACCAATTTTATTCAGCACCACTAGCACGTCTATTTCGCGGAGGTAATCTTTCGTTGAACCGAACCTGCCAAATATATTGTTGAGTAATTTCAAATATTTATAAATGATTTGGCAAAAATATTAAACTTAATCTGAGATTAACAATTTACTTTTATATTATAATCCATTATTTTACCTTTGTTCATTATTCTCTTGATGCTGTCTCCAATGTCGCGGCAGAATAAACCCTCATAATTTTGACCACGCATAAAATACATCAAGCTTACCACAACCACTGAAGTTGCAGTTCTTACCCAAAGTTTAGACCGCAGTGAAGCATCAAATAGTCACAAACGTTCGGATAACATTGCATGAAGCAAAATATAATCCCTCTGGGAATTGAAGCAGCAACTCGACTCCTGTCAGCCTCTAATTGTGAACAGCTTGCAACGGCCATCGTGAATAAGTCAATACATGTGATATAGCGGAGCTCAATTGTCTATTGGTTTGCAAGTTACTTCCGTGCAGATGAGAGGGTAAACCTCTATCCAGCGAATAAGTTATAAAGCATAAACAGACCATTAACTTATAGCATTATAGTCATATACATGTAGATAGTTACCATGGTTTTTACCGTTGCTCTGGCTTAGTTTTAGCCACATGCTGGCAGCAGTCAAACTGCGCGTTCAATCCCAACAAATCTCAGAAGGAATACGCTTCATTAGGATTCCTGATATGATGAAACGTCCTCACACTTTTTCATTGAGCATGTGATAGCTGTCCGACAAAGTCTAGATTTAAGGAATTTCTGCTATTCCCACGTGACTAGCTCTACAACACTTTGTAAAACATCATCAGTTGTTACCTACAACCATTCGCTATTATAATAATGCGCCACGAGCGCGCCCTGAGAAACGGGATTAACTAGAATTTTTCCACATGAATTAACCTGAGATTTTTAACCATGTGCACATCAGCAAAATATTTGGTCTAATTTGCATAAACGTTTCACAATTGAATAGATAGCAATGAAATGTATTCAGTCGCAACGGTGGATTATTCTTCTGTAGTATCGGATTCGCTTCATTAGAGGCTTGCTGCGGTAAAAAGAATGTAATCCGATTTTCTTTTTAGTACTAATCCTATGTTTAATACATTAGCTTCGTTTTAATGTTGCTGACCTTTACAAACAAGGCCCCTTAGAAAACATTGAATGATCGCAAATTTCTTTGGGCCAAAAACAAGCTCAGGTGATTTCACAACACCAATAAGAAATATTTATTAGAAGCCCTTTTTGCACTGGCAGCCGACTTATGTTGACTGATCTTGCCTAAAAGTTATTATTATGACAAAGCAGTGATTGAGCTTACAGGATAAATCCTGATTGCTTGACCTGGCCAATTTCTAGCTCTTTCCAGTATAAATGATTTTGATTTAGGAGACATTGGGGTAAATACGTATATATTAGTTTAGCCTACCGAAAACGTTGTGTTAAATTTTGTCATTACAAATACCAACGGAATCCACCTCAAAATCATGCCACTAAGATTTTGTGGTGCATTTATTCTCAAGATATATTTTCGCTAATATAATCTGAAAAAGAATTTTATTTGAATTCTTGATGAGCAATATCCGCGATCCGACGGTCATATCAAAAATTAAAATTAACTCGATTATCCGCTATAATGGAGACAGACAGTTTCAGTTTAGGAAAATATTTCCTTCTAGTAATGTGCGATGGGGCTTCTATGTTAAGTGGATAACGTAAACTGAAGAACAAATTTCTCCAAAGCAGTTATATTTTAAGCGTAGATTTACGTTTAGCCTTAATTGACTTGAAATATACTGTTTTTGTTACATTAATTTGTGTTTTATATTCAACAGAAACCCATTGTTATTGTTGTGAAGTAATATGTTACACTTATGATCCATAAGTAGATTACCATTACTATGTGGATTCACATATCACTTGTTATGTTCATCTATATTATAATGGATGTCAGAACAATCTGCGACCAGAATTGATCTCCGACGTGTTTATCCGTATCGTGTGCCATGATGGAGGCTTAACAATCCGGCGATCAAGCGAAAGAACTATTCGATTTCAATTATCGGCTACTAACCTATCTGCAATTCGCTTCACGTACATTACGCGCTTGAGCCCGGAGGTCACGTTTCAGTGTACAATAAATTTCAGTTTGTCAGGCAACAATGAACAGCTTACGGACAAAAACGCCGGCTTAATTATCCCCTTCTCGCATGACGGCTCTATCTCAGACATATGCTTAACCATATCATCAAACATTTCCGCAGGTAGCCGGTTGTTCCAAGTGGGTACGTCCATGCCAGCACAATTCCGGCTTCATCACGTGGACAAGAACATGGGTGAGGGATTTCATCTCATTGCTATAAAATCGATGACGACAATGCTGTGCGTTAAACAATGTCATATAAAATAGGCTATGTAGCGAGCCCATAGACATCTACGACGTTTTATCTAGCAATTGTTCGTTTCTGATAACTGCTAAATTCTTCATTCAAGCATGTGCGAAATTCATCTTAACACAGCACCAGGGCGGCTAGCATGTCAATTCAGCTTAAACTGACACGCAATCAGAAAAAACACGCACATGTTCTTCTTGATTTGTATATAATTATTCGACAGTGTGAACCTTCTGAGCCAATGATTAATCTTGTACGACAGGTTAAATACTGGTTAGAAAACTCTAATAATTTCGATGTCAAAAAAACTGAAAATCAGTAGTTTCATAAAATGAATAAAAAATTAATTTGAGTTTCTTGTGCTTATACTTGCGACTCAGGCTATTTTAATGACAGATTGCGCACAACAAGTTTATGCTGCTGCAAGAAACTTTTACATCAGTTCGAATACAGTGAAAATGATAATTTTATTGGGAGATACGTAATATATTAGGATTATTTCAGTTCGTGTGGATGTTTAAATCTATAAAATGATTTGGTTACAACTTGCCTTCAATGATCCGCTGTATTTCAGATTTGCAGAAAATGTTGCCCATAGGCTTTTACTGTTAGTCCTAAAGTAACCATGGTTCTAGGACATCTCAAACTAGGGTAAGGTTGGATTACAACAGTAGGCGGATTGCTTTAGATTACGGAGATCTTGTTGCATTGGGCATACAAGCATTACTCAACAAGTCCCGTGGGATCCACAGGTTAAAAAACATGCAATAGAGAAAGCAATGCACACAAAAAGAAACATTTTTGGGTTGAACAAATTCAGTGTTCAAAAAAGGTTTTGATTGTTTACGGCCATACTGGCAACTGCTCTGTCAGTCAAGTCGGATTGTGTCCAATGATAAGTGGGCTACATATCGTAATACATTTGTTTGAGGCAACTTCAAAGTCTTTCAGCGACAAACGTCAGGTAGTTAGGAGGGTGGTTCATGGATTGCACAAACTAAGGCAGAAATGGTTACGAAAATATTTTAATCAATCGTATTGCGTTTCAGGTTAGACTGGTGGTTACACAAATCGGTGATATGGATAGATATGGTAAGGTAGTGGCATTTGTAGTTGCCTTCCTCCGGACAATATAAATATTTACAAGTTTGTCCCGTAGGTAACAAGAACAATCCCAATGTGTAACAAAACCTTTTTTATACGCTTTCGAGTGACAAAGGGTGAATTGAAGCAAATTAATTTATAACCAGTAATATTGTATAATACTCTATTTTTAGGATAAATATGTATTTTCTCTCTATAAAATGTGTGTGTCGTAATATTGCTATCGCTTAAATATACACTGAACGAAGACAGCTTAACTCATAGTGGAATGCGTATCGACAACGTTCAAGCTTATGATGTTAGCGAGAAATTGGCAAAACTTTGTCTTAGCAGTATCAATTTCTTTCAGCAGCAATCCGTACAAGTTTATGTAAAGGATTGTCTAAGAACATAGCCAAGTTTGAAAGAGTCTGATTATTGGTGTACTCACATACATTAATTCTCTTTTATTTGTTACCATTAAATAATGCAGACAACTGGTTAACCCACTTTGGGATCTCTTGCGTAAACTGGCTCCTAGTCATTTGTAACGCGTGTTTACAAACAATTTGCTATGCAACAGGAAACCACGCCTTATCTATTCTGATTTGCTTTGTACCGGCACTATGTTACCAGGAGCAACATGAAATCAACTTTGCACAGTTTCTAGCTGTAGATAGTGGAGACATGGTAGTGCGCCCGATGCACTTTAAAATGCAAAAAGTTTGAACTGAATAATGCAAGACTCACAGGTTGAGAAAATCTGTATCTCAGTAGTGACAGACTAAACTGAGTTAGCTGAAGTTCACTCGCCTCTGATAAGTCTGTCATTATTGCTGATGCTGACTCACACGTGCTCCTTGTAAATATGCATGCACCCCAAGGCATGTGAGAAGTATTTCATGTAGAGATATTATTCCGTAGGCTCAATTTACTATATGTGATGTAAAATTAGTTCCATGCGTTATATGAAGGCCAATTTTGATTTAGCAAAAATTTACTTATAAGCTCCCCTAAATGTAACACTCCTCCAATCTGATTCAATTCGGTATAAATAAGGATAATAAATCCTGAATCCTACCTGACCAATTTTTAGCTCTTTCCAGTATTAATATTTTGATCTTGGAGGCATTTTGGTAAATACACATATATAAAAGTTTGGCCTACCGAAAGCGTCGCTTGAAAGTTTAGCTCATTATAAATACCAATGGAATCCACCTCAAAATCACGTTACTAAGATTCAGTGAAGCATTAATTCTCATGATGTATTCTTGCTAATATAACATGAAAAATACTTTAGCTTTGGTTTCTTGATGAACAATAATCATGCTCCGACGGTTATATCATACTTTATCATTAACTCGATTATCCGCTTTATTGGAGATAGGCAGTTTTATTTCAGGCTCATGTTTGTTTCTAGTGATGTGCGGTGGAGCTGCTATGTTAACTGGAGAACGCAAACTGAAGAACAAATTTCTCCAAAGTAGTTTACTTTCAACCCTATGTTTAAGCTTAACATTAATTGACTTGAAATATGCTATATTTAATATTATTTTGTGCTTTATCCTCTACAAACCCTATTGTTAATGTAGTGAAATATTATGTTGAAATTATGACCCATATGTGGATTTACATATAACTTGCTATATTCATCTATATTATAATGGATGTCAGAATCTTCTGCGACCAGAATTGATCTCCGACGTGTTTATCCGTATCTTGTGCCATGATGGAGGCTTAACAATCCGGCGATCAAGCGAGAGAACTCTTCGATTTCAATTCTCGGCTACTAACCTCTCTGCAATTCGCTTCACGTACATTACGTCTTTGAGCCCGGAGGTCACGTTTCAGTGTACAAAACATTTCAGTTTGCCAAGTAGCAATGAACAGCTTACGGAAAAGAACGCCGGTTTGCTTATCCCCTTCTCGCATGACGGCTCTATCTCAGAAATATGCTTAACCCTATCGTCAAACATTTCTGCAGGTAGCCGATTGTTCCAAGTGGTTACGGCAATGCCAGCACAATTCCGGCTTCATCACGTGGACAAGAACATGGGTAAGGGATTCCATCCCATTGCTATAAAATCGATGGCGACATTGCTGTGCATTAAACACTTATATAAAATAAACAATGTAGCGAGCCTAAAACATCTACGACGTTTTACTTAGCACTTGTTGGGTTCTGATAAATGCTAAACTCTTCATTCAAGCACTTGAGAAATACACATTAACACAGCACCAGAGCGACTCGCTTGTCGATTCCGACTTAAATAACACGCAATCAGAACAAAACACACATGTTTTGCTCGAGTTGTATATAATTATTTGACAGTGCCTAATTTCTGCGGCAGTGATTCTTATTGTATGATAGGCTAAATACTGTTTTTCGAAAACGCTCCTATTTTCGACATCAAAAAGACTGAAAATCGGTCGTTTCCTAATGAAAATGAAATGTAATCTGTGTTTCATGTGCTTATAAAGGTGGCTACAGCTCTTTTAATACCAGGTTGCGCATAGCTAGTTTATGGTGCCACAATGTACTTGCACATCAGTTCTAATACAAAGAAAATGATAATTTTATTGGAAGAAACCGTAATATAATCGGATTATTTCAGTTCGTGTGATTGTGTAAATCTATAAAATATTTTGGTTACAATTTGCCTATAAAGATCGGCTTTATTTCAATTTTGCAGATGTTGTCCATATGCTTTTACTATTAGTCCTAAAGTAACCATTGTGCTAGATACGTGTTCTAGGAAATCTGAAACTACAGTAATTTTGGACTACGATAGTAGGCTGGTTGCTACGGATTACGGAGAACGTGGTGTGTTGGGCATAAACGCATACTCAACAATTCCCGTGGGTAACACAGGTTGAAAACATTGAATACAGAAAACAAGGCGAATAAAAAGTAACGTTATTTGGGTGGAACCAATTCCGTGTTCATAAAAAGTTTCAATTTTTCGGACCATACTGGCAACTGCCCCGTCTGTCACGTCGGATTGTGTCCACTGACACGTGGGCTACACATCGCAATACATTCGTTTAGGGCAAAATCAATGGCTTTCATGGATAAGTTGGGGTCAAACGTCAGGTAGTTAGGACGGTGTTCCATAGATTTAACAAACAAATAAAGGAAAGGTTCCGAAACGTTTTAATCAACTCTACTGCGTGTTCATGTTAGGCTGGTGGCTTCTCAAATCGGTAATACGGCTTTCCTCCAGACAATACAGATATTTACAAGTAGGTCCCGTAGGTAAGGAGAACAATCTCAATGGGGAACAAAACAGATTTTTGCGCTTTCGAGGGACAACAAGTGAACTAAAGCAAATTATTTTATAACCAATAATATTTATAATATTTTTTCAGGATATATAAGTATTTTCTTTCAATGAAAAAGTGTGTGTGTGGTAATATTGGTAGAGTTTAAATATACGCTGAACGAAGGCGGTTATTCTCTTAGTAAAATGCCTATCGGCAACCTTCAAGCATATGGTGTAGCGCAAAATTAACGAAAATTACTCTTAGCTTTATCCATTTATTTCAGCAGCAATCCGTACAAGTTTAAGTAAAGCATCCCCTAAGCATATATCAAAATTTGGAAGACTCCGATTATGGGTATACTCAAGTACAGCATTTCTCTTTTATTTTTAACATCAAATACTGTAGACAACTGGTCAACCTAATTTGGGTTATCTTGGGTGCACTGACCCCAGTCATCTATAGCGCGTGTTTACAAACAATTTGCTTTGCAACAGGAAACCGCGCCTAATGTAGTCTGCTTTGCTTTGTACCGGCACTAAGTTACCAGGAGCAACGTGAAATCAACTTTGCATAGTCTACAGCTGTAGACAATGGACGCATGGTAGTGCGCCCGATGCACTTTAAAATGCAAACCAGTTTGAAATGAATAATGTCATATTCACAGGTAGAGAAAAAGCTGTATCTCAGTAGTGACCGACTAACCTGAGTTAGGTGAATTTCACTTGTCTCTGATAAGCCTATCACTATTGTTGATGCAGACTCACACGTGCTCACTGTTTAATATGCGTGCACCCCATTGCATGTGAGAGGTATTTTCATGTAGATATATTATTCCGTTGACTCAATTTATATAAGATGTGTAAAAACAGTTTCGTATTTTAAATAACGCCCACCTTTTATTCAGTAATTATTTGCTCATAAGCTCTCCGGAGTTTAGCACTCCTCGAATTTGATTCTATTCGGCATTAAATAAGGATACTGATGGTATGAAGCTACTTCAGAACTACTAATTAATCCAGCGCTGTCTGATGTGCAATTTTATGTATTGAAATTCCTAACATCAGATGTATAACGATGTGAAGTCAAAATTATATATGGTTTTGTAATCTTGGCAAATATTTGTTTTATCTATCGAGTTAAACCCACCTGTCATAATAAGGAAAATCCAAGGTATTCGTAAGTGAGGGCATTGTGGATCATAATACAATTTGTTGTGATGGTTCAGTATCAGGTTGCAACAAGTAAGTGATTAATTGTAACAAATCATGACCACGAATTCCTTTCGAAATGTCGATGGTTAATATGACTAGCTTATTTAGCTAAATGGTCACTAGCGGCTGTATGGATAAAAGAAACTTTGAATGGCATTAGCTAATTTGCTCAAATTAAATAAACAATTTTCAGTATAAGATAATTACTAGAATTGCTCTCCTTTCACGATGACACATCATTAGTTACCGACAAACCCACAATGCATGTCAACGCTGCACCATTCATATGATGAATTGGCTACTCGAGTTGGTAATGAACGAGAAGAGAACGTTTCTTATTATCCAATACGGAGAAAGTACATTTAGAAAGCGCATAACTGTGTCACTCCATCTATTTACTAAGTGTGCACCCACATGAGAAAGACTTTTAGTATGTACAACCTGAAAGCAGTTCGGCTTTACGACGTCAAATTCCGCTGCGATGAGCTGTCACACTCTGTGATATGCAAAGAGCAGGTCCAAGGATTATCTTAGTTCGGAAATCGAGTACTCATCGACTAATTTCTCGAGCAAACTATTTCAATGATTCATCACTCAGTACTCGAAGTATGGAGGATGAGCTATGCGATTCATAAATAAGGTGATGAGCATTATATTGCTAAAATATATCTATTTATACACGGCCTAATCCAGGTGCCCGGGCGTGATTGATGATAACGTACTTGCTAGAACGATCGCTGTATGGATAACTCACCCATATATAATTGCGGCAAAACTTTATGAGGTACACTTGAAAGCGACGATAAGACAATGTGTACAGATATAGTATCCTTCATGGGTCTTCGAACTTGTCCCTCGTAAAACATGGATGGGCTTATTAGCCACGTTTTGTAGGCTTTTCCAGTTTGTACCTCGACCACGAATGTTGGTCTCGTTGTAAGGGAAGACAAGTGGCAACCTTTTCAAAACAGGTGCAGAAGCTGTGTGAGCGGCCAAAGCATGTGTAGACCCTTTCGATAATATTGTTCGATTTGTCCAATGACTTCAAAGCGCAGCATGACGGTACGCCTAGATGTCCCACGGAAGTAATGGGATGTAGCATTTGGCAGACAAGGGTTGACCTATGCCTGACATCTCCAATCCCCGGGAATATACATATCAGAGTGACCGCGTTAACGGACAAGTCGAGATACGCAGATACATAGCCAGGAGGTGGAATTCATTCTGTAAAAATTCACAGTCTTAAGGAGTTAAATTTACTCCATAAATCTTCAAGTCGCCTGCTAATTTGATGCACAAAAACCGAAGCAGATGAACTACCACTTTGATGCGTAACAGAAACACAATGGTGTCGAGTATTACACCTTAGAATACACCACAAAAACACCATATGCGACGAGTGCGCAACAAACACAACTTCAAACTAGGTTGCTCAATGCAAACTTTGCAGCAAATATGGTAACTAAATGTTGAATCGAATCGATGGATATAGGAAAAATTATAAATATTAGAGAGAAATGAGCAGCAGACACGTATACACAATACACAAAATTTGAATGGAGAAAGTGGACGAATTCTTAGGAAAAAATCTGGCGCTAGGCAGATGGTAGTAACTGGAGCGACCTGGCCTGATAAGTTGTTAAAAAATTTATGCTGAGCTTTATCTGCAGTGGGAGTGTAATGAAAACGAAGAACATGTGTACATCTAGGCACAAACCCATACAACTATGTTTAAATGCCTTAAGCCCATGTAGATAATATCATATTGCTGCGCAAAAGAAAGTAAAATTAAATCAAGTAATTCCCCGGAGTTTATCAAGATGTTACTGCAGTTTGCGCACATCACCTCATTGAAAAAGCATAAGCCGAATTTAGTAGCGTCGATCAAATTATATTACTCTTAGTGTTTTTTTAATGAATGAACAATTTTAAATTCCAATTTTTAGCTCGATTTTATCATTGGACTAGCTTTAGTCAGTGATGTTAAAAAAGATAGCAAACTGATATTGCGTCTCCTACATAGAACATTTGTTGCTATGTTACAATGCTTATTATAACTCAGAACACTGTTTAAATATAACCTTAAGCTTTGGCACTTGAATATGTTTACCGAAGCAAAATGGAATGCAAACTTATGCAAAGCAACTAACTACATATGCCTGTGTTTTACCTTTCATATCATCAAGAGAACGGAACAAAATTTCATATCGAATCTAACTCAGGGGTGGTAACGGTGTCGCGACAAGAAAACATTCCGGTTGTTTTCCCTGTACTTTTGAGAGTACAAGTCCATTCAGCGGGATCTGTGGACGCATCTGAGGAATTGCGACATGAATACACAGAGATTCTTATTAGAATTGAAATAATTAATCCGAATATGCAACGTGATATGTGTACTGCGTTGGGGATCGCCAATTCCGAAAACAAGGTTAAACAGATTCCTTTCAGAAACAATTTCGTATACAAAGTTTCGGAGTCAGCACCAGTGGGAACCAATGTTTTCGGTGCCGCTGCATTGGTTTGCTTTGATAAAAGCACAGGCACCATTTTCCACGACTGTCTGCTGCAGTTATTTGAGAGGAGGCCTAGCGTCACAAACTACCCGAAAACGATTGTCCTGTACAAAGAAACAACAAAACAGATCAATCTATTTCAGGTTATCCTGAACCTGACGCTGGACAGGGAAACAGAATCTAAGTATAACTTATTACTAGTGGTTATCTCACCTCAAGATGAACGTTGTCAACATAACGAATGGCATTTCACAACATTGGTATCTGATATAAACGACAACGCACCAGTACTGGAAAAACCGTTTGTGCCTATAGTCACAGTGACTAAGTACCGAAGCTTATTAACTTCGGTTCTTCCATATAATGAGACGTCCAATGTATACTTCGCAAATGTTTCCGTTGCATCATCTGCAATGGAGAATTCTCCTGTGCTTTTTGTAGCTGCCTTTGATTTAGATGCCGATCAGAATTCTGAACTTACCTTTACAATGGAAGAGCAGTTTGCGGTACGAAAAGAACGGTTGATATTAATGAAAAAGCCTACGTTCTTCAGCTTGAGTGAAACGACCGGTTTACTCTACGTTTCAAGGAGCTTGGACACCAAGCACAAGGGAAGGTAAATGTTTGATGTGCCTTAATTTGCAATGGAAGATTTGGCAATATTATGAACAAGTTGAATTAAATAGTTTTACTATGTTCTTACGACAATGTACGAACGGTCATGTACACCAAGTATTATATATGGAGATCAACTGTTTAGGCGTCATTAAAATATATTCGATTACAAGGTCTGAACATTAGAAAATTTTTCAACTTACACTGAGAGTAATCAAAGATATCTGCTAAAGAAAAGGTCGTAGATTTTACGAACAGTCTATTTTAAATAGTATTGAACATTTAAGCCCATATCTTTTGCAGTTTATCAGTGTAGGATACATAATCAGTCTGTCATTTGATACACCACTACAGATTTTTTGAAACACATAAAAAGAAATAAATGGAAGTAACTAAAATTGATTATTGAGTGCGAATATCTCTTAGGTTGCCGCTGGCTGGCACATTAAGTTCAATGAAGCCTCAGCCTATTCCGTCATGAGAATCAACCAAGAATGGCACTATATTCTTATAAGCCAGCGAGTCAGTAGCAGCATGATTTACATGGGTATAATTATTTTTAGTTTGGTAGCTGTGATCTCTCACCTCAAGAAATCAGCCCAGTCATGGCCGACAATGAAACAAGGATAAATATAAAGTATGAGAAATATAAAACATAACGATGAATAACATCGCTTGCTGATAATGCAATCGAAATATGCTGGAAAATCTTGGCGAGTGACGACGATGGTACAGGAACATCAGCTAGAAAGGCGTAGTGCATCTTCGTACCAGTGGATCAAAAAAGGAAACATAATTGGTTAGAGAGATTGATAAGAGAAAGGTCGTGTGTAGATATATAATCAAGTATTAAAACATATGTATGTTATAATATTGACACAAATAAGGGATATGGCTACATTTCAGTGTATACAGGACCTTTCTCATATAAATCATCTACAGTCATCTTTCGGCTAAATGATTACCAGATATTTGAAATAGTCAGGTGAATATTATTCATGCGTTTGAATTGCGGATAGGTAGTTCAGGTACTAATAATCGTTGGAAAAAAACATTTGAGCAGTTCTTGCTGCGAGACTTTTGAATTTGCAATGTGCGCTCGTTTTCATTTAGTGCCTAGTGCATTTATTCTGAAATTCGAGTTATTGCTGTGCAGTGGAGCTTAATTCGCATGGTAAGCGGTATAGGAGGCACAGATTAATGTTGTGTCCGCGCAGCCATAGGGGCTCCAGTTTGAGAGCTTCACAACTCTCACAGAATGTAGTAGATTTAGGCATGTTCAAATATCGCTTTGTGAATGATCATTAGTTTTTATAGTGCCATGATATCCTCTTTCTCAGATTACCGTGCTTTATCGTACAGTATTCAAGCTTCGGCCTAACATATACTTTAGGGACTTGCGGCCTGGAATCCCTCAATATAAGAGTTCGATGTCTGTAGGCGATCAATTTTCTGACAGAAGTTTACAGGAACATAACTCACCATAAAAATTAAATGAGGCAGAATATTTTAGATAAGGTATCGGACTGCAGACACACAAGAATATGTGTCGTTTAATGTTAGGATGTTCGGAGAAGGGCCACAGCAGTCGTACAATAGATTACAACTGTCAGTGGCAAACTGCAAGTTCTAAGAGTTACTCCAGTGCTTCAATGCTGACAAGTGAGAGTGAATATAAGAACTATTCAGACTACGTTGCCCAGGGGCGGAACAATGCAGAAACTTAATTACATCAGAGAAGAGTAAAGCCTTCTCGTACGAGACTTCATCAAGGTTATCTTTGAAAAATATAAGGAATACAAGTGGGCTAGCACGCTAACTTGAATCACTTCACTTTATAATGAGGTGGCTTCAGATTTATAGTTACCAACTTTGAATAATTTCTTTCTACCCTCGAGCTAGGAATATAACCAAACTATAAGCGAATTTGTAATACCATAGGACAAAGCTTCAGCAATACTAGGTTGTTTGGACCACGGCCGAAAGAATTTCGGATATCAGTAAATATTAGAGTGATGACACTTGCCGGCGTCTCTTGCTCTGGTCACGTGATTAATATAATCTAACTGAAAGATAGTGCATGACCTACCTTCCAAGAAAGCGTGCTGATATTTACAGATAAGGTTCACATAACTCAAGTATTCTATTGTGCTTTATTTAATTGACCTTACCATGTTTCTAATGAAAATAGGTGTGTGGTGGATTAAGCAGTAATTTTTCACATCTAGCATAGATCTGCTTCTCTGTCGTGGTATTATAGTTGGTCGTTTTATTGCATAGGATACCCCCCACTGAGCATGGAAAGTGTACTTACAATAAGCAAAAACATGGGGTGTCTGGACCTCCATGCGTGACTCGAATTGGCGGGATGTTGTCAGGCCTGTTAGGCATGATGGCCGAACTAATCTGAGTTGGCGACTTATGTCACTTAGTGTGAATACAACAGTTTGGAGTGTATTACTGCCATTACGTGTCATGGGTGCAATGCGTAGTGCTATAAGTAGTAGTGCTATAAGTGGACATAAATTAGTCAATAAAGATCGAAAATATGGGTATGAGGTCAGTTAAGGCAGTTCCATCAGCGTTTACAATGAAGTTAATACATCCTGATTTTCTTTTATGTATGGGGTCCAAAAGTTTTGAGGTGCGGCCTGCCACCTTGGCGCTCGTCAGTACCATTGCCCCCTAAGAGCGTAGCATTTTTTTAGTGATCATGGTATAACTAAGTGTTCTGGCGTGGAGTATCAGCAGAGTAAAGTCGTTTGTTTTCTTAAATTGTTTTTTATTTTATGACGATAACTGACTACCATTTCCCAGATGCCTGCAAGTGCAGAAGTACTTTTCAAGTTCTCGTTACGCTCGTGAGCCACAACTTGAACACTAAGTTGAACATGGTGATAGAACTCATCGCAAGCAATTTGAACGTTTTGTGCTAAGAAAAGTGGATTCCACTTTGAAAACCTTATAAGATCCGAGAAAATTGCCAATTCACAGAATAGTATTGACGGTTTTTGCTCGCGGATTCTATCGGTTTAGGAAGAAGTTGAAATGAACTAGCAGAGATGTTATGAGCACTACCCGACTATTTGTCCCTGATGTATGTGGAAACAATTAAACAGAGCATAGTAAATTAGATCAAATTGTATTAGATCAAGTGTGTTACCAAGCCGAGTAGGCTTTTGACTTGCTGTACCCATTCCAGTCGACGAAGAGTAGACATGTATAAAACTTTCAACGGAACGAACGTGTTCCGGTGTTGGTGCATCTGGAGAGGTGAAAGGATATTTAACCTAGTTAAATTGCTCTAGGAGTTAGTTAAGAGACTCAAACTTTTACTTCAATTACTTCAGTTGCACTTCAAGCAGTGTAACTGTTTGATTAACTTAAGCAGTCAATTCCGCGTTAACTGCGCTATGTTCTATCAAAGAAACCTTAAGAGAAATATCATTATATTGTTTTTATACTTACGCACAATTTCCTTTTTCTTTTCATCTTTGTTGATGAGCCTTTCATTTTTCCGTGCTGACGGACGGGTTATAAGCAGGATGTTTTGAGAGCGTTTCATCAGGACCCAGTTTCTTCTCTGTAGTTATTGTTTTATCAGAGGCAAGGATCTTTTTGCTGTTTGTTCACTCGGCTTTAGGGCTTCTAAAATTAGAAAATACGGAACAAAGTTCACCGTTTCAGTTGAAGTGACTGAGTCGAACTAAACAGTTGTAGTAAGCCGCCGAGGATACAGACTAGAATTTTAAGGCTTATGCTACCTATCTAAAGTGCACGAATACCACAACGGTACAAAAATGATCAATGTTTCAGATGTGACCATCGATACAAACCCATCGGGTGTAAGAGCGCTCCTTTGTCTAGATTCCTCCAAGGGTAGATTTTTCGTCAGTAATCAACTTCGCTGGGCACAGGTAGCCCTGTTAACTCCCTGTTCTGCCGCGTCACGTTGCGCCGCTAGTTTCAATAAGCTCACACCTACAAATCAGGTCAGACAAGGAAATTTGCGTGCGTTCGATAAAATGTGATTTGTAATGTGGCGTGAGAGCTCTTTATCAAGGAAGGCAGTGCAAGAAGATTTAATTGCTTCTAGCTGCCTTATGCAGCAACCGATAGGATTGGTTTGGTTCCCTTGAAGTGGACCTCGCAATAGATTTCCGATAACTCCAAGAAGCTTGATGAAGTTAGAAAAATGACGCACTCGTAGGCGAACGATTCCAAAATGGAAAACCGGCGCTGGACGTTGAGTCGTCAATTGTACCCTCGAGCAATTCTGCGTAACAGAATGGCCTGCTCGAGGTCGATTGAATGAGTGTACCCAGGCTGAGGTGCAAATGATTTGAATCCGAAAACTTGGGAAGTCACGAGCAACGAAAATATTCCGACCTTCACGGCATAAAAATAGTAATTTACTGAACATGAAACCAGTTTGGCCTACCAGATCAACGCTGGTGAACTGTTCAGTGTTGGTCCAATGTGGCTGTGTGTCAGTGCGCACGCGTGTACCGGAAAAATGAAACCATAAGGTCTACTGATTCGAATCCGAGTAGGGCTGGGCATCCTCGCGGTATGCTTAGCCCGCGCGACTGGTGTTAGTCGCGCTGGCAGCAAAGTGCCGTTACGGTGTACAGTTGACACATTATTAGTATTATTATTACCAAAGGGGATAAATTGCGGCATTTCTCAGCCTTTTATTTTAGATCGACAGGCTCTCGCCACTGGAAGGTGACATCAGTACAAAAGGCATTTTCAGAAAATATATAATGGTATATAATTATTTCTTAACTGACTGTGAAATCTGATGAAAACTATTGGATGGGAACTAGCCCAAACATTTTTGGTTAAAACAGGAATTTCGATTAAGCAATTCGGTCCTGCATAGAAGACGGTTTCGATTTGACAAGTTCTTGACAATGCAATAATAAGATTTGCACGGACGTGAATCTAAACCAGGGACAACATTAGCAAGTCTTCTTGCGTTCATAGTTAAAAAGAACACCTGAACAAGCCGTATTTTTTTCCTATCAAAAATTCATCCAGAATAGCTATTCATTATTTGCTATAGTTGGTAGGTAAAACAGACCTCTAAATAGTCGCTTTTAGATACTTTGAGGAAAATCTAAGCGGTCTTATCAGCTGGGGAAGGGAAACCATATTTTTGCACTTCCGTTATTTTTGATACGATAAAGTTGTCTTCATCATGCTTCTAAGTAAAATTCACATAGCCAATAAGTCCACAATAATTTTATTTGTCATAGCATTATAGCCTGACTGGTCCTCTACTGCTATGCGTGGAACTGCCCGTGCAAAGGAAAGTACTTCGTCATCAGCTGTCCGGAATTCCATTACCAACAGCCTTGAGTCCACGCAGCATGTTTGGGATAAAACATGGGTTGTGTCTGAATAAATAGCTTACCTACAGTTTGTAAGGTAAGAAAAGTTATGTGGTATAATGGTTAATTATTTAGTATCATTTGAAACCTTATTTGATAGATTTGCTTTGGTCAAATGTTTGCTAGTTAGTAACCAGTACCTTCATTAAGGCCCAACATTGATATAAGTAATATTAATGATAGACACTCCTATTGAAGCTGGAAATATTCCCAGGTAGCTACGTAAAAGAAATGCGCTTATGCACAGTGGGAAAGATGTAGCAAATACAAAAAGATATTTTCCAAAACTTTATATTATTTTTTACGTAATATCTACTAACCAACCTTAATATGTGTAAATTTAGCTTTAATCCCTCTATTTTCAAATTATTTATGTTTAAAGGAAAGCATATTTGACCAAATTAAGACTTGACATTCCAAACTAAACGATATGCCTACAATGTTTCTTTTGATAAATGTCGTTTTTTCATTATTGTATAAGATATTTTCAGTGTACTCAACAAAACCTTTTCACTCAGGTTTCCTGGAAATGACAATATGAATTTGTTATAAAACCTCACGCGAATCAGAGATAAAAATATATTTGTCTATGCAAATCTTGGCGAACAAAGTCTCGAAAACTGAACTGAAAATTAACGGGTACTTTGTTGCCATATTGGCAAAATTTGAGATTTATAGTCCCAGATAGCTACATTCATTCAGATAGTCCACGCAAAATTGCGTTGGGGCTAAAACGCTAGTTACATCTGTTCGGACAAACCTACTCCGGAAAAGTGATAGATTTTGTCGTTGTTCTCGCATATTAGCTAATCACTTTAGCGGCCTATTTGACACCTCAATTGTTGTCTGCTTACCAATTTTACATACTTTGAGAAAAGTAAGCCATCTCGTCAGTTGGGGGCCAGCAACCACTGTTATCATCAAGATATCACAGGTGTAGGCAAATCTGGTTTAGCTGACATCATAAAGCAGTCTGCAGCAGGATTCCGAGTATACTATACATAGCACACCGATTCAGGTTGACCAAACTGCACTTGAATTCTTGTGCCCACTGCAGTATATCTCAATTGTCGTGGACTAGTTAATATTGTTTCGTAAAAATGTCATGTGCCGCCAGACAGTCTAGTACCACAATCCACATCCATCTTGCAATATAAGACAGTTTAAGACTTTGGCGTGCGACATGTAGTAAATTTTAGTTTTTATGAACAGAGAGTTTTAAGTTTCGAAGAACAGTGGATAAAAATGTCACCATGTTTACCTCACGCAGTTTTGCATTTTGCATTAAAATACATATGTATTGCCTTGTATGAAATATTGTTTGCTACTCTAGTCTAATCTTCGAAATTCTGACCAGTATGCTCTTGGGTGTGTCCAGAGATGCTTCACGAAATAGCTATGTGAATATTCCGCATAGATGACATTCAGAGAGCGATGCGATAAACTTGGATTTAACCCAGTGTGGCATCGAGTAATGATGTTGAATCTATATTTTCCATACAGAAACATAAATCGTCAAATGCACATGTATTTAAAAGACAGGTACCCAAACCGCAACAAAGGTAAAAATGTTATGATTCCATAACTATTTATAAGGATCTGAGAACATTTATGTATAATCCACTGCACAACGATTTGAAAAAAGCTGCCCAAATAAATCAATACCTTCTATACACACAGCAATTCTAATTTTGCGATTGTTAAGCAGCTATCCGTCCAAAATGTGATTAATGTGTTTGGGATACAACAGTCCCAAGATAACGATTACGAAAAGGGTAGCGATGGCGCCCGAATAATTATTTGCACCACGTACAAACAATATTTTCAACCACAGCTCTTTCATTTCATTACATTTTGTTCTCCACCAAAACATTTATCATGCGATTGTGAGGAACCATTTTTCAAAAAACAAGGAAAAATAGCAGCAGGTGTGTGCATAAATTTAAATTGAACCCATGGTTATTTATTAAAAATTATTGGTGCAATGGCATAAAAAGGATGTATCAAAATTTGATATGTTCCTCCTAGGGAACAGCATTTCGTATCGGCAAGGAATATATCATTTATTTATTTATTTTATAGTGGCTTCGGTTACCTTCCCTGTGTTCGCGTATTTATAACTCGAGCTATATCGCATTTAGCACTCATTTACGGTGACACGCCGACGTCACTATATGGCGTTTATTAAATTCGCTGACTTTCAGAATTTGGGTTCTGATTTAGCAGAATCAGCCGATACGCAGTAAGAACAATTTCCAATAAGATGAAATAACCATCTGACGCAATTCTGAATGTGTGGTTTCTGTCTAGTTGAGTCTTGGTTTGGCATTCTTAAATTATAAACTAAACACCAACCACAATTTACACGCTGTACTAATCCATATAATTTAAGCTAAATAAGTAATTCAAGTTAAATCACATGTAACTCATTTTGTTTTTTGTTATAGAGTTATTATTCATTTATTTTCCGATCACCTAAAAATGGAATAATTTCAAGTTAGAATACTTAAAACAACAAGGTGTTTTGTAGTAGGCAAACCAATCTGAATAAAAATTTGCTGAAAATAAGTCTAGTTTATTCCGTCTTAGGCACTAGCCAAATCTACCCATCATGCACCGTCGTTGTTCAAACATAACCGCAAGGTTAGGAGCTGTCCTATAAAGTTCTTGTTCACGTGTGAAGTTTGTGTTATTTTAGTTTTCTCTATTTTAGGTACATATTGAAACTGAAGGTCAGTGATCGGGGTATACCACAACCATTGTGGAGTATAGCGTTTGTGCTGCTAGATGTAGTTAACACTGCTCGCGATCACGAACTGGTCAACGACATACCAGAATTAGACGTAAATGAATCCTTGGAGAATAGTTTACAAACTCGGAGATCTCCACATGACAAGATGGATGAACACAATCAACATATCCCCAACGAACCTACAGGCTATACCGGATATCAACATATGCAAAACACACTCCTACTAAGTATGGCAGCTTTCTTAGTTCTTGTTTGTTTTGCAACGAGTATTTGGGTTTATCGATTGAAATGCTTGGGCCCCAATGAATGTTGTATACGGAAAACCATAACAAGGGAAACCCACTTTCCAACAGCACCCACAGATCAGATGATTCCTGCAGAAGCACGAGAACTTAACGTTTTAACGGAGTACTACATCCTCCAGGAACAACAGTCACCTGGGACGGCCAAATATTTTGATTTCTCCACATTTGTCAGTTCAAACCCTCTGCATTCCCAACTCATCTACAATTACCAATGCACTACTTCAGAGGACATCAATAGTAAGTCACTTTCATTGCGCTCTGGAGTGTATATTATTTAAATTTTGAAATGAAAAATTTTAGCTGATACATGCACAGGCTAAACATGCGTGTTAATTAAAATGCGCTTAAATCCGTGTAATCTCTAAAGGTTTGAGCTGCCTGTTGTGCGATGTCTGTATACAAGTCCTCACTGCCTTTCACCAAATTGTTCGACCGGATTGCGTACATGCATTCCAGAGCAGATATCATGAAGAGTAACTAAACACAGACTTGATTAGGAATGTGCTAACATTGCAGTGATCTCCGAAAAAAGGTTTCTCTTGGTTACCAACCGATCATGAAAGAAATATTATATAAAATTGATGTTGACGTATGCAAAGTGCGAGATGGCATCTAAGTGAGTGGTAATAAGATGCGGATTGGTAGTTTTTGTTGAGGCTACAACCCTTGTAGGCTGTTGGAAGAGAAGCGGTGTAGGGTTACGGGTTGACTTCACTATTGTCTACCTTGTTCGCTTGCCTATCTGGCCACACCTGATACGGATTACATAGTGTAATCGTGCGACTGCGAGCAATATGGAGAATCTATAAGTGTGCGATTTCGCTTAACATATGCGTGTGATTGCTAATGCATTGTGAGCTAATCAGAAAAACTGCAGTAATTCGTATAAAGGAGGTAAAACTAGGGCTGCTACTCAAATATAATTTTTAAAAGCTTTATAACTACAATGTTCTTGTGCTTTGTTTTTTAGTTGGCCGTACACTCATGTGACTAGCGTAGAAAGGCATTGCTGATGTAGTCGGCGCATAGTATACTAAGGTCAAGTTCGCTGGGTGTGTGAGAAAATCAGTGGATGTGTAGCCATTGTTCCAAAGCGGAAGATTCCTAAGTTGGCAGTGATACGACATTAGTGAGTGTTCGTTAGTCTCCAAACCTGCGGGCCTATTAGGAAATCAGTTACCGCTAAAGGACCCATGAACCTGCCGTTAAGTTAAGATCGTAAGATGCATGTCAATCCTGCGTTTCAACGTGATATTTGCACTTCACTTCCAAGTCATTGATAAGCTTGAAATACCAAGTGATCCTACTGCCCTGATATGATCTGCCAACGAGCATTGTATAGCATATTAAGCATAGAGTTTGGAGCAAAATTCCTCCTTCAACAATGCCTCCGGAATTACCTACTTTCCAATGACAAATGTTTCCGAGTAGCTGCCAGGTCGATAGCAACCTGTGTCACGGCGTACGCACATGACTACTTCTAAGACTAGCTGAATCATTGGTCCATATAAGGATTAGTGGGCGCGATTGCCTTTGTCAATGATTACAAACACATTGTTGGAAAGCCCGTGGGTGAGACAACAGTTTTTCTGTTCCAAGTACTCATTTGATTTACCAGAGTAAAATGACTGCATCGCCACTAATTATAAGTCTTGCGTTCTTTCTAGCAGGACGATGTGGCATGTATAAACACAGTAGTTACTTTAGCCCCGTTAGGGGTTTCTTTGTTGAGTAATGCCGATTTCATGAGGATAGCATACCAGTCCCAGGACGTAATAGGAGGGTTCCATCTGCATTGACTGTGCTTCTACTGGTTCCATTTGGAGAGGCACTTGTCAAAGCTTCTCAACAGGTATGGGCGATCATACGGAAGTGAAGCCTAAATATCCTATCAATTCACAGGTTCCTATGACCTTCACATAACGCCATATATGGAGAGAATGAAGCGATAACTGATTAACAAAGTCGCCCATGAGTGTGCAGACAAACGAACACTCACTAACATCGGGGCACCGCCACAATCGCAATCCTCTTATTTTTTGTTGAGCCATCAACTGTGATAGAATTAAGTAAACACAGAACTTTCGTTGTTCAGCTTTAGGTTGGTCTACCAACTTCAATGGGAACAATGTCCCCATGGTCGTCGCAATAACAATCGCACAAAATGGTATAACCAACTAGCAGCAATTGCTGAACTTCGGAATACAAGTTCGATGATTGCGTGTCTAGACCAACATGGGCGACCATATGGAAGTGAAGCCCAATTATCCTATGAATACCTAGGTTTCTATGACCTTCACCTAACGCCATACATGGAGACACTGAAGCGATAACTGATTAGCAAAGTTGCCTATGGGTTGGGAGAAAAACGAACACTCAATAACGTCATGTCAACACCACACTTGACATCCTCTTATTTTTGTTGAGTCATCTACTCTGATAGAAGTAAGTAAACACATAATTTCATTGTTCAGCTTCAGGTTGGTCTACCAACTTCAATGGGAACAATGTCCCATGGTCATTGCAATAAAAATGGCACACACTTGTATTACCACCTAGCAGCCATTGCTGAACTGCGGATGATTGCCTGCCTACACCACCATGGTTAGGCTGCTGAAAAACCCACCAACAGGTAGCTGCTGTCGATCACTATAGACCGTTTCATGTGCTGGTTAGTATGTGTGTTCCCACTGGTAACGTCTTAAGCTTCGGATCATGTGGTAGCTAGGATTTCCTCCTTAGAGGGGCATCACAAGTTGCGCATTGGACGGTTTCAATTTGGAGACCAATCATCGAGTTTTCCTTCAGATAGGCATACAAATAGAACAGAAGTTGGCGCTCGGCCAATTTCGTTGAATTGTCTGTTGCTTATGCTCGCTGCTTCCAACCGGTGTCCCATTGGTTAACGTCCCATGACCAATGCAAGTGTCAACGACGTCAAAACAGCGTTCTTAGCCTCGCTAACTTGAAAGTTCTGCACGCGATTTCCAAAACGCGCCACGTTAAAAGCTTGGCACATTGCACTAACATGTGTGTAAAATGGTGTATATGCATATGGTATGGGTGCCATCACACAGATACAAAGTTACAGCGATATTGATATTGCTCGCATAAATAGCCACAACTTGGCTCACAATATCCCGCAAAACGATAAAAAACCGGTATTCCGATAAGTTAAACTGAATGTTTGTAGCAAAAATATACTTTTGCCAGAACAACTAGTTAAAGTTGTCAAAGGACGGGCCACCCGAACATGCACACGGGATTTGATTTGTCTTTTAGTCAGCTAGAAAGTGGATTTTAAGGTCTCTCTTCATTAAAATTTACACACCAATCTGCCATACTGTTACCGTGGCGTAGATCACACCAAATCAAACGTACTCTGCTGGCATAGTTAAATATGCACGAGCTGCGGCTCTTCCACATTATTGCCTCTAACAACGGCCATAAATACAGACTGGTGAAACACGAATTTCTAGTGTATTGCAGCAGTATGGTCTAAATCTTTCATTACAGACTCCCATCCCACTGCGTCAGTATAAATTGGCTTGCTGTCAGAATACGCCAGGGCAATACTTTTCCACATTCATCAGATGGCAACTGAGAAAATGACAGGCAAACTGTCAACTTCATGTATTATTGAATACACTTCAATCACGAAACTCTGGAGACACAACTTCGAATGTTTACTTTTTATAGCCGATAATTATGGGTTGACTTCATTAAATGTCCTCTTTCCTTGGCGTCAATATATTCCTTCTTATTGCTCATCATTGTTCTTCAAATATTACAAGTAATTATATTCAAGTTCAGGTAGTAGGCTTTAATGATTCTATATATTTGAAATATGATACAGAAAAATGTTTTGTGGATATTTAATCTGCTTTTGCACATATAAGTTTAAATTAGGCCTATTGCAGCTGATCCGTTTAAAATCCGCATGCAATGCTTTTGATGTTCCAATGAGACAAGAAACCTCCAACAACAATTTTGAAAAGCAGCACCTAATGCGCATTTTGTAGGCAATCACGTGCAATAAATACCATTGATACTATGCATGAAATAAGCTCAGGTCTACCCTAAGGCTCCCTACCGAAATATTGGGTGCATTTCATGTATTACCATATTCTGTTGGCGAAACGTAGAGTAAAGAAAATTAACAGCGAAGTAAAATCAAAGGAATGAAAATCATCGCATTTACGGAGTAGAACCAAGATGTGCGTTTGTCGAGAACAATTTTATGTATTAATGGAACTAAAGAAACTTTAACCTATTCATCCGATTTATTGCGCTATCTCATATCCCACTGGGTTTCGTTATCTCAAGTATCACTTGCATTTAATTATATCTTAAGGAGGAGGATTTAAATTGGTTAAATATGAGTACGGAAGACATAATTAAACAAAGTGTTTTACATCTACGATCCACAAAGGAAAAACAACTATTCGGTTTTGCAACCGGTTATACTACTTCACTAAATCCCAATTTAGCCCCCTGAATGATTTAATATGGCAAAGGTTTAACGTTCTTTTGAAGTTTTTGCTGCGCTGTCCAGTGATCTGGTACATCAAGTCAAGCTATATATATGTAGTGATGATAATATTTCCCACAGAAGACTTGAGAATTTCCATATACTTGCTAAAGAGCGTGTGACACTACGTGCACATTTTCCGACTCCGTTGTAAGTAACGATGTAGTGTTTTGTTATTTGTGTTACACCTGGAATGCCTATTTTATGTGTGATCAGACGTTTACTTTCAGAAATAAGGATAACATGCATATTTATCAAAGCCCACATGACACTCCCAAATGTGACATTCAAGTGGTGTTAAAGTAGGGTACAACAATGAGATGAGGCAATACGTACCGATTTTGTATGATTTGAAACTTATGAGAACGATTGCTTTGATATAAAGAAGCAAAATATTAAAGAAATCTTAAGCTGCAATGTCAAATTACACTTTAGTATAAACATTTCCATCCAGCCATCAACAGCTAACATAAATCGCAAGATACGTGAAAGATTTGGGCCAGTCGCGTTGCTTCGGAGCGATTACACTTTGTCTTTCTCAAGTATGGCATGAGCACTTCTGCACTTGCATATTATATAACGCTAGAAGGAACCGGTATATGATTTATTAAGCAACATTTGGAGAGCCCAGTAACATATCTTCCTTTATAAGGGGTGGACAAATTTCACACAATTCAAAATAATGAGAACAGATATGTCGTCAACACAGCAAATGCTGTTTTGCTAATAAGACGCATAACA